TGAGACTGCAAGCCATGTGGCAGAGCAGTTTCCTGGGTTCCTTATACCCGGCTGTTCTCTGCCCAGGCACCCCTTCCTAGTAGTCTTTTGCTTTGTCAGTACAGGTGTCTCCTTGGACAATTCAATTCCGAGTGTTAGACAAGAGTCCACTCTTGGGCCCTGGAAGGGGTCCCCCTTACAGTAACATAACCATAAATGAGCCTCTTTTTTTTCCCTAAGTGCTTCTATGAATTTATTAATTTCCTCAAAATACATGGAAGGGTTTCAAGAAAATTATAATAGCTTGTCTACAAATTAATAAGGCTACAATGGAACTGTACAATAGTCATAGCGAAAGCAAAGAAGTTAGACAAGAACTTTGAGGTCGCTGTGGAAAGTTAAGCAACAGAGAAAAAGGGGGCAACAGATTGGTAGAAAAGTAACAAGGGAGGTCAGCGGACAAAGGAGGATATTATCTTCCAGTTAGATTAAGAGTATAAAGGTTTCTAAAATGCCAGACTTTTCCTTGAGGCATTAAACCCATTCACTGCAGAGTAAAGCAGGTTTTTATTACCCCAAATCTTGAAGCTTCTAATTGGATTTTGATTATTTCTGCCCTCTGAAAAAAAACTTTTAGTCTGCAGAACACTGGTAGTATCAATTCAAACCTTATAGATGGGTGAATACTTACACTAGATTTTTTCCTATTTTATTCTTTTTTTCTGTCCCATAACTTTTCAGGGCTAATGCTTGTGTTATGCTAATTCATCTCCCTGCCTGGACCTTCTCAACCAAGGATTAACTGCCTAATAGGAACAATTAGAGCTCTTTTCCTGCTCATTAAACAAAGGGTACCAATATGAAACCAACCTCTTAGGAGACCACGTACATAAAGAAAAAAAAAACTAGAATGACAGATAAGCAAATATAATGTTGATGACCGTTGATACTATTATGAGTACATGAGGGTTTCAACGTATTAGTCTGAGAAGAAAAATATTGCCTGTCATATCAGTAAACAAAGGATGTCACAGCCATCAGTCACAGCAGCCACCGCCGATGGTGAGCCCTGAGGGAACTCGGGATGGAAACAAGGAATGCCCCCCATCTAGCAGTCATTAGACTGCAGCCACCCCAACAGTGCAGATTTAAGGAAACTCAGGATGAGAAAACACAGGACACTGGCCCCAGATAGCTGAAGTGCCTATCTAAGGAATGATTTCAGTGAGCCCAGACTCTTGCACCTCCCTATACACAGAAAAGCAGTAAATTCCTTAACTTGAGATATCTGGTTTTCTTTAATTAACAATAATCTTTTGACATTCCGACTACCTGCCCTTTGTTGCAAATACTCCTATATATTCTGGTTCCCCCTCACCTCCTCAGAGCAGTTTCTCAGGGTTATATGAGATGCTATCTCCAGGCTTGAAGTCCTAAGAATGTCTGCCGAAAAAAACGTAACTCTCAACTTTTAGGTCATGCGCTTTTTTTTTCAGTGGACATGTCTACTTTCGTTTATATTTGGTAATTTTCATTAATAAAATATTTTTTCAAAACTGAAAACATACAGTGGCAAAAACATCAACATAATTATCTTTTTAAAAAAAGCCATTTAATAATCACTTTCATGTATCTTATTATAATGAGAAGGGAAAGTAACCCAATTACTAAAATCATCTATTCTACTCATCTCATCATTCTAAGAGCAAATTCACCAAATAAGCAGATGCAATGACACATTTGCAACAACAAAGAGTAAGTATATTGGATAAAGAAGAGCTTTGTTGAGAGAAAGGCTGTTTATACTTAAAGTCATGTTAAGCGTCTCAGAATCTCTCAGCTGTGAGGGACAGATGCGTTTATATGTGCAGCTGCAATTCATAAACATGTATGAGCCTCAAAAGTCCCAAGGCCATTGAAAATTTCAGTTTTACACATATTTATAGTTACTTCTCAGGCATACAGGAATATGTGCTATATGAGAAATGGAAATAGTTAACAGGAACTTTATGTAAACTGTTTCCAGTTCTTATTAATTTTAAAAATCATCATGTGACAAATACACCATACTTTATAAATATGACTGTGTTTCTTAATATTATCCATAAAGAGAATTTACTCAAATTGTTTATTCCTATGCTATACACTTCCTATAATTATGACTAAGAACATTTCATAAAAGTACAATAAAGGATCCACCTACACAAAAAAATGCTTTAAATAAAATAAGGTATTTTAAATACCAATCTGGGCTTGAAGCATACACACTGTAAAGCAGAATCACAATTCCATATTTTTTTTTCTTATGAGACTGGCAGATGTGCATAACTACAAGGGACGAACACCAGCAGTGTTATTTAAGCATTGGGGTAACACCACCCGAGTTCTCAGCTGTTGATCAAAAGTCAATCTTACTCTACTGCAGGCATTCAAGACAGAAGATTACTTGGAGAATGTCCTTACTGGAAAGAATAAACTTTATTTAGTGATCCCTTACCTGAAGTCTGAATAAAAATGATACATATTTTCCTACATGATTTACATCAGACTGGCTACATATATGTGAAACAATTAGCATGTCTCTACTTTTAGTTTTTACATTTATAGGGAAAAAATTCCTGGCCACGTGATCTAGTTAGACAGCAACAACCTTCTAACTAGAAGAAAGCAAAATAACCTTTCACATTTTTAGGGGTGTTTTCCTATCTGACTGTAAGGTCAGGCCACTCAAGATGGGTGTTCTCTGGCTCTCTATACATTCCCTGCTCCACCAGTGCCTGCTTTACCTACACCCTACTCACATGACTGACCTTCCTACATACCTGCCCCAGGCCCCAGCTAGTGACAGTTCTTAACAAAGGGGTGGTGAGGGGTGTGCCCCTCTGCTAGTTTCCCTGGTAACCAATGAGCCAACCTGAGGTTAATTCCCCTTAAAACTGGCAATCTCCCATCTCCCCTTGCCCTTGGAGTGAAGACTGTCCTGCCCTATCCCACCCGCCATCTGCTGCAGATGGTGGGGTGTTGCACCAGGACCTTGCTTCAGACGCTCCCCCTATCCACTGAACCACTGATGTCTCTGTCACTGACTCCGGGCTCTTTCTTAGGTCTTAAAGCTGGGCAAATACAGGCCTTGCAGGCCTGCAGGGTGCAGCCCAACGCTGACAACACACCAGACCCACAGTAATCTATTATCTCATTCTACAATATCTTTATAGTATCTTTTGTGAACAAAGTAAAGAGCTTAGCAATACAATTATTCTAGAAATGAAAAATTATAATCAAATGACTTGCAGGTCACATAGTTAATTATCAGTAAAGCTTGGGCAAGAATCCATATATTCAGATCCCCAGCTTAGTGCTCTTGATAGGGACAGATTAAAGGGACAAAGTAGGTGATTAAATAGTTAGTCCCACTAGGGGATTGTAAGTAAAGACAAAGTATGGGAGACCCTGTAAGTTAATGATCACTCAAGAAAGCAGGTTTGCTTCACCACAAAACCAAGCAGGCTTGCTTAGCAGCAAAATCATGCAACTGAAGCATGAGACATGCCCCAAACAATAAAATAATGGTGGATTGAGACCCATATCCTGTCCAGTGAGGTCAGTAAATTAATGATTTCTAGGACATGCTTCTCTGCATACACTGAAAATAAAAATATAAGGAAAAGGTGACATTATACTGAAAGCTGAGATGATTTACCATATTTTAGCATATGTTACCACCTTTTTGCTCATTTCCATTACACCATGACAGCCCCAGTTTGACCATGCAGGGACAAGAAAAATCCCCCGCCCAACATGGAGGAGGAACCAATGTTGGAAGCATGATGTCTCCTCAAGAATGAGGAAGAAAAAAAAAAAAAGAATGAGGAAGAAGGTGGTCTTCTCCCCCTCCCCACTTTTCCTTTGATTATAAAACTGTAGCCCACTAAGTTCTCAGGGCAGCACCCTCCTGCCTGCCTGCTTGTAAACCTATAAGCATCCTATTCTAATAAATCATTTCTTATCTATCACTTTGCCTCTTGCTGAATTCTTTCCGATCTGAGACATAAAGAACCAGAGCTCCTCGGAGCCCCCGGCCCTGAGATGCATTTCTGCAGTTTCACTCTAACCATTCAGAGGCATTACAAATTTAAGGCTAGTGCTGCTACAAATTACGGATCATCATGGATGATGATCTTTGAAATAAAAATAATAGCTACCTTATTCAGACACCATGCTAGTAGGCACTTTATATATATATCTTGAATCCTCACAGTAGCTCTGTGAAATATACAATTCTTATTTATAGATTAAGAAAATAAGACTTAGAAAGAATAAGTGATTTACCCAATCACTTAGCCAGAAAATGCTGAAACCAGCATTCAAATACAAACCTATCAAAACTTCCAAAAGAGAGATCCTTCCTCATATATTATGCAAATGAGAGATCATTATACTACATAGAGTGGTATGAGAGTTGTGCAATAACATTAAAACATTATTACCTACGTACAGCTCACATCTATAATTAAATGGCAACAGATACCTTTTTTTCTTTTTCTTCTCTCTCTCTCCTCTCTCTCTCCCTATCTCTCTCTCTCTCTTTTTTTTTTCTGCCTAGGGGATGTTAGTGGACAGCTGAATTCAAGAAAAACAGGTTGCTTGGAGGACAGATAATGAGAGATGATTCGGATTCCTTTTCTGTAATCATAATTAAAAAGAAAATTTTTTAACTGTTAGCATTTTTTGAAGTCTACCATGTGCCAAAGCTATGCTAGGTACCTCATGGAAAACTCCTTATCATGAGATGCTAAGGGACTTCCACTTAAAAAATTAAAATCCTTGCTGGCTTTAATAATGAACTTTTTATTGCTAGTCTTCCTGTCCTTCGTTTTATTCCTCATTACTTCACACTATTACAAGCTAATCTTTACTTTAAGGAGCAAAACAAAAACTCTGATCCTTGGAAAGCTATTAAAGAAAAGCCCAGATGTCCGACAAACATGTAGAACCTATTGCATAATTCATACAATACTTGCCTCTGGAGTTCCTAGTGCTTTCACAGCATTCAGATCAGATCCTGAGGAGAAAGTATTTTTTGCTCCGTGGACAATGAGACCTTTCCCCTCTGTCCAATTTTCCAACTCAATCACTTTTTCCAGAAGTTGTAGCATCATAACACCTGCCAGAGGGGAGGGGGAATCAAAAACACATAAAATATTGGACAAATAGAAATAATTTAGAAACTGTAAGGTGTCAAACAAGACTCTTAGGTCACAAATTTTACAAATATTTACTGAATGTCTATCAAATGCCTATCATGTTGGTACTAAGGAGTATATACAAAAGAGGCAAGCATAACAGTCTCTGCTTTAAAAGTTTACAACTTGATAGTGACCTCTTTCTCTCTCTCTCTCTCTCCCTTAATTAAGAAGTCACATAAATATGTGGTTAGGTAGAAAAAATAATGCTGGCCCTAAGTATGAGAAATCTGTACCAGTAGTTAAAATAATCTTTTTGACTTTGTAAAATAAACATAAGAGTTGAAACAGACCTTAAAGAGTATCTGTTTGGCTGATTTTCAAACAAGGGCCTTGAGAGTTGTGTGGTGTGGGGCTCATTCATCATCTCACAACCCAACCCAACCCAACCACCATCATCCAAATCAAAGCAGCTCTGCTTGTATTAGTTTTAAATATTAGGCATCAAATTAATACTTGTTTCCATTTGAATAAAAAGTTTTACTAATATAAATTATAAATTGTAGCTATTCAGTAGTAAGTTAAAACAAGGATTTATCTAGTCTAAATCTCTAGAGCAGTCTTACCTTTCTAATTTTATTTTTCCTAGGCTAATATAAAAATTGGCTTTTATTCTCTGAACCAGTTGAAGGTATGCAGCTGCACTGTCCAGTAAAGTAGCCACCACGCACATGCAGTCATTGAGCACTTGAAATATGGCTAGCCTAAACTGAGATGTGCAGTAGTGTGAACAGCTTTTGGCAGGAAAGGCCTCTTTGCAGGAAAGAGCTCTCTACAGGAGGCCCCTTTTGTCTTGTCACTAACCTTAAGCCAGGCACCCCCATCCTCTACTCATCTCTGGCCCTAGCACAACTTTCAGATCTTTTGATCACACAATATGTTGCCTAACCTGCTGGCTCTTTCCGTAGATCAAAGAAGTAGAAATGAAGAATAAGTAATTAAGAGATGACCAGATCTCTTCCCTAGCTTCCCCTTCAGAAATCTCGAGAACAAATCTGTGTGGACAAGATCGCATCTAAAGAAAAATCACAAGAAGTCAACAAGCCTGCATACACTGGGGGATGGCGACGATTCTGACCCCTTGTCTCAACGACTGAGATTACTTCCCCTTTTCCCTTTAAAGCTTTCATGGCTGAGCAGAATCTTCAGAGATGGTTTTTGGGGGACAACTGAGTCCAACATCTCCCCAGATTGCCAGCATTCTGATTAAAAGCTACTTTCCTTTCTACCAACATCTGTCTCTTGGGTATTGATTTTTGAGTGGCAAGCAACCAGACCTGATTTGGTAACAGTAGTGTAAAATACATACCAGATTTCAGAGAACTGGTATGAAAAAAGAAAAGAGGAAAATACCTCATTAATAATTTTTGTATCAGTCATTTGTTGAAATATTTTGAGTATACTGGGTTAAATAAAATGTTATTAAAATTAATTTTACCTTTCTTTTTCCTTTTTAAAAATATGGCTACTAGAAAATTTTAAATTACATATGTAGCTGACACTTGTGTCCTGCATTATACTTCTATTGGTTAACATTAATAGAGACATCTCTGAATTCTGCTGAATGTAAAGAAAAGTCATCTTGTGTTTAAAGACCCACCACTAATAATTTACAAAGTTTACAGTCTACTGAATTATGTGTATAAGTATGATTATATATAGACACAAGAAACTTTACTGGGATATTTTTGAACCCAATATTGCAAATGCTACTATAAAATATAATTTGCTCCCCCCACAATAAGTATGTAACTAACAAATAGAGATTGCCAAAACCACCTGGAAACACGAGTGCTGGGTAGTCAGGAAGGTAACTCATGAGCTCTTGTATAACATCATGGTAGAATAATTCAAATTTGAGCTTTGGCAAAAAATTACAAATTATCACAGGTCCTGGACCTTGAGGTCTCTTAAATATAAAATTCTTATATGCCAAGAGTGCTGCCTAGTAAATAGAAGGTATTTACCTGTATCTCAGAGTTAGAAAGGGGCAACAAGTAGGCAAGTGCAGTGTTTTCAGTGATTATTGGAACTACATGGTTAAAATGACAGACTTATTTCAGTTCATAGAAAAGAAAATTTAAGCTAAATAATTCTTTTTTCATTTTAGGCTTTACTCTTTAGGTTTTAAAATCTTTGAAACATCCTTCCCTTTGTCTCCCAGTGACATTAGCTGAACACAAACAAATGAAGCTATTAAGCAGTCAAAATTTCAATGGAAAAAATAATCAAGATTAATTTGATGGTTTCCTTTTTTTTTGCGGAGCACAGGCTCCGGACGCGCAGGCTCAGTGGCCGTGGCTCACGGGCCCAGCCGCTCCACGGCATGTGGGATCCTCCCGGACCGGGGCACGAACCCATGTCCCCCGCTTCGGCAGGCGGACTCTCAACCACTGCGCCACCAGGGAAGCCCGATGGTTTCCTTTTTACCAACATCCATACTCACGGATTTTTTAAAAACATTAAAATAATCACAATTAGTAAAAGAGTTCCTGGTTCAGGTGATAGTTTTGTTTTGTTTTCTCATGTTCTACAAAGAGTACCATGACTTTCAAGAATTCTTCAACAGATTTAAGGATAAAAGCATGGGATAGCAGGTTAGATTTAGTGTCATTTTTTTTTTTTTTTTTTTTGGCTGCACCACGTGGCATGTCCGTTCCGACCAGGGATCGAGCCCCTGCCCCCTGTGTTGCAAGTGAGGAGTCTTAACCACTGGACCGCCAGGCAAGTCCCCTCCTACAGCGTCATAAGCAACAGGGGAAGCAGGAAACGGGGCACGAACCCGCGTCTCCTGCATCGGCAGGCGGACTCTCAAGCACTGCGCCACCAGGGAAGCCCTAGTGTCATTTTTTTAACTAACAAAAGAAAGCTCTCTATACCTGAGAAGGCATTCATTTTACTTGGATTGTTCAGAGTAAGAATGCCAATGCCACTGTCTTCCTTCTGAAGGTCAATGGATCCACCAGGAAACTGCTCAAGTTTTCTTTTCACTTCTTCCTCATGGAAGCCATGAGAGGTGTTATAAAGTGACAATCCTATTTGATGTAGCAATTTTGTCTTCATAGGGATAGGTGATGTCTTCAAAACATGTCTTGCCATTTCTGGAAAAGAGAGATAAGTATGCAGTAGTCTGGATAAACACTTTTAGAATATTATACATTAATAGGCTTTAGTGAGAGACCTTTCTGTTTATTGCGAGGACTTCCCTACTTCTCAAAACACTCTCTGAGAAGTGTATAGGATTGCTTCCCTTCCCCCCCGCTTCTCAAACCAAAGGATATAAGTTACATTATTTCAGTATATCATCAGGAGATGATGACGTAGTTATAGGGCATTTACTGAGATCCAACACGCTAGGAGGATTTAGAAAAATGTTGCTGTTCTGTGGTTAGCACCATCTCCTGCCTTCAGGGAGTCTTCCTCATGACAGCAGTTCTTCTTCCTCTAACTCTAAATCTAAGAATAAATTCAGTCCAGAAGTCCCCTTGGAAACAATGTCTATGCAGAAATGCTACAGAGCAGTTCCAGTCTCTAACAGAAAATTTATTTTTAGCATTATCCTTACCTTATGTAATGCTTTATAGAAAAAGCTGGAAGGGGTCCTGAGGAAAGTGGGCAAAGAAATAGGAATGTATGTGTGTGATTTCTGTGTTCCCCAAAGTTCTGTCACTCTTCTCACTTTATATATCTCATCTCTGGGTCATCTCCTATCTGCCCAAATGCTTTTTTGCCCTATGTAAGTACTTTTGTTCACATAAAAAATACATTCAGAAAATTATACAAACCATAAGTTACAGTTCAATGAATTTTCACAAGGTAAATACATTCAAGTAAATAGCATTCAGATCAAGAAACTGAACATGACTCCAAATAAAATTAACAACTATCTTGACTTCTAATACCCAAGATTAGCTTGCCTGCTACTGAACTTTATATAAATTGAAAAATATAGTAAATATTCTTTTGTGTCTGGTTTCAACTACGTTTGTGACACCCATTACTATTATTATGTGTAATTAGATTCTAAATATCCATTATTTTCATTGTTGTATTTTATTATATGAATATACCACAATTCATCTATTCTAATGTAAATAGTCATCTGGGTTGTTTCTGGTTTTTGGCATTACAAGCAGAGCTGCTGTGAACATTTTAGTATCTGTCTTTTGGGTCAACAAGTATGCATTTCTGCTGGCTATATCTAGAAATGGAATTAGTGGATCAGGCAGCAGCTGGCTAAAACTGCTTGTTAAACACTGAAGAATTTTGCAAGTTGCTTTTTAAACCATAGGTAGCTTGAAATTAACCATGGTGAGAGTATTATCAAACTCTACATATCAATCTCTCCCCGCCACCACCCCCACAGCCATTTTCTGGGTACACCACTGGTCATAATGATCACATCTGTTCATTTATTTCACTTTAAAAGATAATGCCCAAGAGTTTTCACATCCACAGCTAGTGAACGTTCCAGTTGTTCCACAACCTTGTTATCACTTGCCAATGTCTTTTTTTCTCTTTCTTTCCATTTTAGGCATTCTAGAGAGTGGTATATCATTGTGGTATCACTTTGCATTTCTATGACGTCTAATGAAGTCAAGCTCCATTTTCATATGCTTGTTATTTGCATATCATCTTTTATAAAGTGCCTCTTCAAGTTTTTTTGCTCATTTTTTTGCCTTTTTAGTACTAATTTGTTGGAATTCTTTTACTCATTTGCCTACAGTTTTTATTAAAACTCATAAGACAACAAATTCTACATTTCCATCTCTAGTTGAGACCTTATGCCCAAGTACTCCTAAATCAAACAAAAATCTACTTCCTTACTCCTCATCTCTAGATGTACCACAGGTTTCTCAAAATCACTGTTTAAACCTAACTCACACTTTTAAAACCTGTAACTACTTTATTCCTTCCCTTAACTATCCACAGTATCCTCAATCCAGAAAGCCACAGCAGAAAACCCAATCTCCTTCCCCACCTTCATTTCTCATATGCAACCTTTTTTATTTTTCCCATCCTTTACTTCTTCTATGACTAACATAGTTCAAACCTATGTACCTGGATGAATACAGTGGTCACCAATTAGTTGTATACTGCACCTTAAAATCAGAGCTATCTTTCTACTGTATGCCCCGAGAAGTACAAATCTTCATATACATTTTCAAAGAAATTGAAAAGATTTAAAATTAGTCCTTCTCAGGACTTGAGCATGAACCTAAAAAATGAACCTGTAGGGGAAATAAAATGATAAAGGTGGGAAAATTTAGGTCTATGGGAAATGAAAGGGATGGGGGGGGGGGAAATACAATGTTTTTACTAATTAAAAAGTACGAAATAGTTATGAAAAAATACAAGGATTTTGGAGGCTTCCTAAATTATCAACTAAATATAAGTATCAAGTTCTCTCAAGATTCTTAGCTAGCAGAGGAAATCGACACTCAAAATTTCAGGAGTTATTGAGAAATTACAAGCAATGAGGCTAGAAATAAATTAAATTAGCAAAACTTATATTCTCAGGACAAGATATATATGTATATTTATATGTATGCTCACAACTCCAGCAATGTGCAAGAAAGCCCTCTCATCCCCAACCACTGTTCTTTCTTTTTCATCTCCCCTTTCACTATCCCTAGGTTCAAGTTCAGTGATCAAAGTCTGTGGGAAAAATAAGGTCAAAATATATCATTCAAAATGAGTTTGGAAGGCTTCTTTGCTTTTTAAAAGACAAATTCCAAGAAACATACATAATAACTAGATTAGCAATTAAGATAAATCTTTTAAAACAGGACAGTATTCTTTCTTGGATTATTTAAAGTAGATAATAGCTTCATTCTAAGAATAAAAAATGGTTGAATAGTTTCTTTGCATAAAAGCCATTAAGTAAATTACACCATGTGTATATAGGTTTTTATAGCCAAGAAGTTCAAAGGACTGGGATCCTAGTATATAAACATACATGCATATGATAAGAGCATTTGGTAAGATATAATTGGTAACAATTCAATTGGTATTTATTGAGTTCCTATTTAGTGATCTCCCCTTTGCTAACTAGCTATTTCAGAGAGAAAAAAAAAAGTATTTTTAGTTTTATCAAAGAAACAAAATACATACACACTCAGCAATAATATTCAACTCTCTAGTTGAAAATAGAACAAAATCCCTCCTTTTATTAAGCTCTATTAGAGACTTGCATCAAATTTAAAATATAGCCATAACTTCATAAAAGGATTTTTTCCTCTTCACCAATAAACTTTTATCATGAAGTCTAAGAATTTTCTATAGGCAGAAATGGATCCAAAGACATTAAATCAGTGCATGGGATTATACTTTATTTCCCTTCATTCTTTCGAAGTTTTAACATTCTAAGCAGAAGTAGAACAAAAATCAAGCAACATCCTAGTTCTGCTGGGGAGTCACCAAAGAAAGAAGTAAACTCAGATCAGCTCTTTTTTTGCAGTGCTGTGGCCAAAATATTGGCAGAGGGCTCTACTTTCAAAATACTCTCATCTTACATATTTCCAGAGTATCAGTTCTTCACCTGATTACATTAGCACTAATCTATTAGAATGAAAATTCTATAGTCCCACTACCCTCCCAAAACAAATCTAGAAAACAGACAAACAGAAAATAGGGCCCACATTTCCATTTTACAAGTAATGAAAGCGTACCTTTATGTGAAGCTTTCCTCTAGAGAGTGACCTGCTTACTGTCAAATTCTGAAACAACAGGAAAGCTCTCGAAGTTCTCACTCTGCTTTTTCTCCAAATAAATACATGTAATTTTTTAAAACAAATTATCAATTTATAAAAACCTTTAAAACTTGAGACACTATTTTAGGTAACTAAATAGCTGCCTAGAATCACAAGTCTTTTGAATAGACAAGAACATACTTTACATAAAGGCTATTGGATGAAATCAAAACATTTATGAGGTTATATGAAACTGTGCGACACTACTATTCATGTATTACTTCTATAAAAGATTGCTTTCATTTACTTACTTTGAAATCAGGTTGTATTACAGTTAGCCAGAATGAAAATAAATGTAGACATGAAGAATGAAGAAAGCTAACCTAACATACTTTTGAAAGTTAGGTTTCAGAATGAATGTGTTGTAGTTCTTAACCTAAGTAATGGATACACAGGTATTTCTTTTTGTTGTTGCCTTTCTTTAAACTCTTCTTATGCTCTTTTTACTATATGCATGTATGCTACATTTCTCACTAAACATGTTTTTAACTGAAGGACATCATTCCAAATTTAGGGGGGATGGTCTCTACCTTTGCCAGTAATCTCTCCCAACCTTCTAAACTGCCAATTTCAAAACTAGTTTTCTAAGTACTCTGTTTTTTGCATAGAAGGTATTTAATAAAGAACACAAATATTGCCATTGGTGGCCACATAGGTGTCTGAAGGTTCTGGCAGGTCTGACAACTGAGCAAGTGTCCTTATTAAAGGTAATGATATTTCTTTAAAATTGATGTACAACCAGAAACCAGATAAGAAAGAATTAGAGATGAAGCTCCTGCCTCCAGTAAATTCAAAAACTCTTATGGGTAGGGACCACATCTTATTCATGGCTTTAGCATACAGAGCTTTACACTTAATATTTGCAGTACTAAATGATACCTAATGTGGTTATTACCATACAGGGATTACTGTACCTAACCATCATTTCCCAAACTAAATAAAAGATCTCTATTTGCCAGATAGAAAAAGTTTATTTCATTGTTGGAATTCTAGGAAATGCAAGTCCAGGATATGTAGCTCCAAGTGCTCAAGGGTATTACAGTCAGCCAAAGAAGGAGATCTCCTTTTCACTGGCCCCTGGTCAGTTTGATCCAGGACCACCACTCCACCGTCAGTCCTAGCTTAGGAGCCCCTGCTCCTTTTCACAAAAAAGACAAGAGCTGTGGGTCTGATATTTTTTTTCTTTTCATGTTTACAAATTGGGTTTGCATACAACACAATCTCTATTGGATCATTAATGAAAATACTAACACTTTTTAAGAAACGATGGTAAGTAACAGATAACAAAGCATCGCTCTACCTATTTATAATGTCTGTAGTTGGTAATACATATTTTACAAGGGTCTG